TGGGGAGGTGGCTTTTTATGCTCTCCAAGAGGCCTTTCCATGGAAGGAAGGTTGACATTTGGCGCATAAGACAACATGCAACCAAAAGGTGGTCGGCTTGCTTCATGCACGACCTTCTCTTCTTCCACTTCACTGCACGCGCGCTTTCCCCTTCTCTTTCTTTTTCATCTTATCTCCGAGCATGCTAGTCGCGCGGCACTCCTCTCTTCTCGCCATGCACCTTATTCCCCTCTCACCGCGCGCTCTCTTCCTTCTCTCCTTTTCACTGCGGGCCTTCTTCCCTCCTGCTGCGCGCCTTCTTCTTTCCCGCCGCGCGCCTTCTTCCCCTATCGCCTCATGCCTTCTTCCCCTATCACCGTGCTCTATCTTCCTTCTCTCCTTATTGCCGCACGCCTTCATCCTTATTACCGCATGCCTTCTTCTCCTATCGCCGTGCGCTCTCTTCCTTCTCTCCTTATTACCACATGCCTTCTTCCTTCTCACCGCACCTCTTCTTCCCCTATTGTTGTGCGCTCTCTTCCTTCTCCCTTCACCATGCGCTCTTCTTTTATCACGTGCTGCAGTGACTTCATCATGCTCAAGAAATTTGGGTCGTTACATATTTAGACCTGAGACCACTGTCATAACAATCTATGCTCATGAAAACAAAATTTTTGTGAAGGGGGTAACCTCAAATTTTGGCTTAAATCCTATCAAACTGTTTGATGTTCTTGGGTAAAGTTTCTGTTTGCAAGGAAGAAAATCTAGGGCGATATACTCATAGAAGTAGTTTGAGATCATTCTTTAAAAGTAGTTTGAGATCATTCTAATATATTTTAATTAGTCAACATTCCACACAAGACACATAACAGTTATGGAAAGTTCTTGTTTTTACAGAAGAAAACCCAGTGTGACATCCTCATAAAAATTGGGCATAACTTTCAAACGACAGGGAATTTACTATGATTCAAAAACTATATTCAGGATAGATTCATTTATCGTTCATTTAGAAGTAGTTTGACCTCATTTTGATATATTTTTTCTTTGAAAAGCTCTACATAAAATCACATTAAATCCATGGAATTTCATTTCACAAATCTGGCATGCTTCAGAAAATGGCTAATAACTTTCAAATAAAAGTAGGTATTGACAAGAGGTCTTTTCCATTTTAAAATAGACTCAAAGGGCTACTGTCCCACAAAATTTTATGATCAAAATAGGTATTCACAATACCCAAACGATTTAACAAACGGGAGTCACAGTTCTGGAAAACAAAGCACAGGATGTCAGTAACATACATCCACACCCATATTCACAATCACATCCATATTCATACTCGAATTTTATACTTTAATAAACTAAGTAAACAAGCATTAGTCAAAAGCATGAAAACAAGGAAACCTGATCCACTTACAACACTAAATGAAATTCCAAAGTTCTCTACAAGTTTCACCTCGAATACCAAGCTAGATAGGTTCATGCTCAAAGGCTTAAGGCTGGGAAAGGTCTCAAATCTCAAAGTAAGAAGGCAAGAGGTGGAGAACATGGGTGGGTAAGAGATAGAAACCCCATTTTATGGGTGGTGGGGTATATAAATAATCAAAATGGTGGCAGCATACAATTACCACATGGCATCCAAGAGGGCATGCATGAGGAGAGAGAGAGCATGGGAGACAACATCATGGGATGGAAGCATGCAATTGACAAGTGGTATGCAAGAGGAGAGAGAGGTAGCAAGCATGGGAGACATCATCATTATGGGCTGGAGCATGCTTGTGCCACACGACACTCATGCATGGAGACAGAGATATCATGACAGAGAAGGAGCTCTCTAGACTACCGTATACCACTTGCGCCCAGCGGCACGCTCATCGGCCTGTTCCCATAACACGTGTCCAGACACCTGCGCTTGCCAATGCGCTCATCCATCTGCGCTCAACCGCTCCATGTCCACTCGCGCACTCATCGCATGCACTAGCCCATCCACGCATCAGCGCACACACCTGCCCGCGCTCAACCACACGCTCACTGTGCTCAACGGTGCATTAAACCATTCGCGCTCTCTACGTTCATACTCAGTCGCCCGTGCTCAACTGTGCGTCGGTTCACCTCCGCCTGCGCTCTCAAAAGTGCCTGCACGCCAGCTCTCTTGTGCCGACGAATCGCTAGCGCACTACAATACGCTGGAAAGCTCGGGTCCTTACAGGGCAAGAAAGGGAATGTTCGGTTATAAAAGGGGGTAAAATTCCTTTATCGTTTTACTAAAGGTAAAAACAGCTAAGGCTTAGTGTGAGGGAATTTTCAGCAAGAAAAAGGGAGAGGTTCCGGCAGGGAAAATGAGGGGGAAAGCTGAGGGTTATGGTAGGTTTGCAGACATTTGTTGGCAAAGGGGAACATGCCAGAGCTTTAGGAATTTCAGCAGGGTGTTTTCAACGATTTGCACAAATTTTCAGATAGTGAAGGAAAAAGGTTTGCAGGGATTTTCTGGAAAGGTGCATGGCAATAAGAGACTGCGCAGAGTTTTTTGATTGGGTATTGGTGAAATTTCGATAAAGTGGATGCACGGGGCAGGGGAGAAGAAGGCTCGACCATGTGTTTGTAGTTGGTTTTTCGGCAAACCGAGGAGTTTCTAATAGAACTCAGAGGGTCTTGGTGAATTGAAGGGTCGCAGGGAAGCCGAGGAGCACAGGAAGCCCAAGGGTTAAGGGCAACCGAGGGGTCACCTTTTTTGGTACTGAGACAAAACGTCGCGTGAAAACGTGTGGCGGGTGCACACGCGTAGGGAACACGCTTGTTAAGTGACCCAATAAGAAAGTGACCGAATAAGATTTTGTGCACGGCGGCTAATTGTGCCTGGCGGTGAACGTGTACAACAGTCGAACATGCACGACAGCTTGGACCGTCACTCAAAAGGGGAAGTGTTCGTATCCATTGGTGGGATTTTCTGAAGGCATTCCCTTGATGAAGATCCTCCTAAGGGTCGGGGATTTTGGAACTGATAACTTCATTGGTGATAACTCAGTTAAGGGGAATCCCATCTGGATCACAAAGTCTGTTGGGTGCCAAGTTCTCAAGAACAATTGTGAACTCCAGGTTGCTCTGTGGAAGGGAATTCACTATGAACTGGGCATGCTCTCCATCATAGGCCAGTTCCTTGCTAGAGAAGTCTTCTTTGTATGTCTGATATACTCGATCCAAAACCCTTCTTTGTTTCTCTGAAGCTGGGGCAACACTGGCAATAAATTGCTCTATTTTCCTCAGATGCAAGAGCAACGCTGAGGATCAACTGCTCTCTTTTCCTCATATGTAAGAACAATGCTGATGACCCCTCTCATTGCATAGGGTTGAATTTTGATATGTCACACTTGTAACGAAAAGTTGTATCTATGACTTGTAGCTTCTCTTAATGAAAAGTTTTGTTTGTTTGCACTGATTGTCTCTCCTTCTCTTTCGTGTCATTACCTCTTCAACCTCTGCTTCCTTTGAGGATTGTGTTTTCAGGGTCATACACCAATACCTGAAGGCAGGTTTAAGGTTTTTCCTCCGAGACTATAAGGATCATGGGTAATACCTTTTCAAGTAACATCCATTGATGGGGGGCATTGCATCCTTCCCATCTGGATGAGCCAATATATAAGCTCCATTTGAGGACACCTTTTTTATTACGAAAAGGCCCTCCCACTTTGGCTCAAACTTCCCTTTACATCGCCCGTGCATGACGATCGACCTTTTTCCTGCTAGAACCAAGTCACCATGACTGAATGAACGAACTTTGACTAATTTGTCGAAGGCCCTCTTCATCGTCCCTTGATGGAGCTTAAGGTTTTGCTGAGCTTCTAATCTCTTTTTATCGAGTGCATCTAATTCTTGATAACAAAGTTTAACCTACTCATCTTCAGTCAAACCTTGATGTATGGCAACACGAAGCGATGGAAGTTGGATTTCAAGGGGCAATACCACTTCACTTCCATATACCAAGGAGTATGAAGTAGAGTCGGTGGCACTCCTTGTAGTTGTGCGATAAGCCCAGAAGCCTCAGGGAGCTTCTCATGCCAATTTTTCCTTGTCTTTGATATCGATTTCCTCAGAACACTGCAAAGAGTTTTGTTGAAGGCTTGGACTAAACCATTTGCCCACGGATGGTACATAGTAGAGTACTTCCACTAAAAACCAAATTGGTTAGCCAAGCGGTTGATGTGTTGGCTTCTCAACTGGGGACCATTATCTTATATGATCCCGTTAGGCACACCGAATCAGTAAATGATATGATGTGTCACGAATTTTGCCACAGATTCCCCAGGAACATGTTTGAGAGGGATCGCTTCAGCCCATTTGGAGAAGTAATCTGTAGCGGCTAAGATGAAGGTATGGCCCAATGCTGAGGGAGGGTCGATGAGTCCGACTATATCCATACCCCATTGCGAGAAAGGCCATGACATCACTATAGGATGCAAAGGCTCTGGTGGCTGGTGAATAAGGTTTGAATGTATTTGACACACTTGACACCTCTTCGCAGAGGTCATCGCATCTGCGACCATCGATGATCAGTAATACCCCAACCTGCGTATCCGTTCGTAGAGCTTAGGACCAGACTGATGTAGGCCATAGATCCCGGCATCCACTTCTTCCAATACTTGTTTCGCCCGTTTTGTGTCGACGCATCGAAGGAGGATGCCGTCGAAGGATCGCTGGAAGAGAGCATTCCCGCCAAGAAGAGTGTATTCGGTGGACATTCTTTGTATACTGTTGCGCTCAATGCGATCATCGGGTAGCCAACCATGTTTGATAAATTTGATTATGGGTTCCCTCTAATCCTCAACCTGTTCGATCTCTGCACATATTGGATCAAAGATTTCTCCTTCATGTTTCTCAAACTTATCACCTTGGAACTGCTTCGCCTTTCTCTCGTCTTTGAGAGCATCCTTGGCAGCGAGGAGTGCCTCAAATGGGTTAGGAGGTCATTATGGGAAAAAAATCCTTTCATCGTCCCCATCCAACTCTTTAACCTGCTCTATGTGTCTTCACTCTGCTACCCACATAGGCGTGGGTTCTTTCGAGGAGATTTGGATAGTGGCACCGAGTATGGCAACGACATCAGCTTGAGAATTCAACCTTCTGTTAATGTGCCCTATGGAAAAGTCATCGAGGTTCGCCATCAGGGTCTTAGCAGTGTCATGATAAGGCTTGAGGCTGTCTTTTCTCACATCGTATATCCCTTTGAGCTGCTGTATTACTAGCTCGGAATCACCAAAAATGGCTAACCGTTCCAGTTCGAGGTCTAAGGTGACATCGAGCCCTATTATGAGGGCTTGATACTTAGCCTCATTGTGCGAGTCGGCCTTTGCAAGGGAGAAGGACAAGGGAATGACGCCATCTTGAGGGGTCAGAAATACTACACCAGCACCACCTCGTTCAGACAGAAAGGCCCCGTCAAAGTACATCTTCCAATCATAACTGGCTCAGCATAAAACACTTCCTCATTGAGAGGTCACTCGATAGGGGAGATTCTGCCGGTAAGGGGTGTGATGCTAAGAAATCAGCCAAGGCTTAGCCTTTGACGGCTTTTTGCGGCACATACTTGATGTTGAATTCCATTAGTAATAGTGCCCATTAAGCCAAGTGCCCTGACAGACAAGGGCGCGCCATGAGGAACTTGATGGGGTCACCTCTTGAGATAAGCTACACCTTAAGACCGAGCAGACAATGGCGATGATTTTGGACTACGAAGATCAGTGCTAGAGACATCTTCTCGATTGGAGGGTAATTCTTTTCAACCCCTTGCACACTGCGGCTGAGGTAGTATAGAGCAGTTTCATTCCCTCTCTCATTGTTTTGTGTCAGGAGCACACCACGCAACTCATCGAGGGCGATCATCTACAGAATGATGGGCTTTCCTAACACTAATGTGGAGAGTACCAGGGGGCGTAGCAAATAGTCTTTGATATCATCCAAGGCAGCTTGACATGCCTCACCCCATATGAAAGGAGAGTCCTTCTTCAATAGGTTTGTAAAAGGCTTACAACGACTTGAGAGATTGGAAATGAATCTTCGAATATAAGCAAGCTGGCCTTGAAGAGATCAAAGTTCTCTGAGTGTCGTTGGCGGTGGCATTCCTTGAATTGCCTTAATCTTGACAAGCTCGATCTCCAATCCCCGATATCTGACAATGAACCCTAAGCATTTCCTTGAACATATGCCAAAGGTGCATTTCAAGGGGTTCATCTTGAGCTAATGAAGGCGGAGCCGCTCGAACACTCGGTCAAGGTCCTGCATGTGAACATCCTTCTTTTCGGATTTCACTACCAAATCATCTACATAACATTCCACCTCCTTGTGCAGCATATCTTTGAAAATGGTGGTCATTGCTCGCTGATACATAAAACCTGCACTCTTCAATCCAAATGGCATCATTGTGTAACAGAAGACCCATTTGCGAGTCAGAAAAGCGATAGCCTCTCATCCTTTGGTGCCATCCTAATTTGATTGTACCTTGAGTATCCGTCCATGAAGGAGAAGATTTGGCAATGGGCTGTGGAATCGATAAAAATTTTGTGAACGACAATGGGAAGTCACCCTTTGGACAAGCAGCATTCAAGTCCCGAAAATCAATGTAGACCCTGATTTGCCCGTTCTTCTTTTTAACTGGCAGTACATTGGAGATCCATTTCGGGTATTTGACTTCCCGAATAAAAGTTCCCTGAGTTTGGTTAGTTTAGCATCTATCTACATTTCAAGATCGGGCCGAAACCTTCTCGATTTCTACTTTAATGGTTCGAAGGATGGGTAATGCCAAGCCGATGTACCATAACTTGGGAATCGAGACCGGGAATCTCATGATAGTGTCAGGCGAAGACGTCTCGATTTGCTCTAAGTAAGGCACTCTATTGTTCCTTCTCATATGAAGACATGTTAGCTGAAATAAAAGTTGGTCTAAGATCCTTTTCATCGCCTAAGTTTATTTCCTCGAGATCGTCAACTGTAGCTTGTCCACCTTCTTCCCATTCCTCAGGGGCTTCTTGAACTTCCACTTCGTCATCAGTTGATGATCTAGAGGATCCTTCATTAAACTCAAATATCTCGATCTCAGAGTTTGTAAGTACCCATGCTCTTAAATCTCCGCCTCAAATTGGGCTTTGACAGTATAGAGTGTGGTGGCTACTTCTACTGCTTGTTTACTTGATGAGGGGTCGGTTTCAAGGAGAGGGGGTGCATAGAGTCGACAGAGTGAATTTTGGGGCACCTGAGTCGGCTGGGAAGAGTACGGTTCAAAGAATGTGAGGGGAGGGTTCTGGGATTCGGAGATCATAGATACAACCACTACATCATTCTCTTTCTTGCGCTTACCATTTCTATGTACTCCTGGATCTGCCACAAGCTTTAGTGGGATGGTAGATTATGAGGTAGGCTTAGATGGTAGAGGTTTGTTTTGGGTTGCCGACTGACTTTGCTGCGTTACCGGTATGGATTGGTGAGTTTGTGAGGATTGGGAAGATAAAGGTTGCGCCACTGGACTTGGTGCGGACTGGTCAGGTCATGTAGTCAAGTCTGGTGTGGACTGGTTAGATTGGGCGATAGGAATAGAGGTTGGTAAAATAGAGGTTGATGGAAGTTGAGGGTTTGGAGATGGTTGGGTATATGGGCTAATGGTGGTCCCGGGAACCTAAGGAGTGGTGGATTGGTTGGTGTATTAAGGTACGGGGATGAGCAGCGGACCAAGGTACTTCAAGAGTCTTGGTTCCTGAATGAGTGGCGGTAACGTCTTGCTTGACCTGAGATTGATTGGGTTAGCATTTGTCACTGCTTCAAAGACCTGCACCATGTGGAATGTTTCGTGAGAATGGAAGCTCTGCCATCTTTATTCTTCCAGCCATTGCTCGAAGTCGGCCTCAAGAGGTCATTGGGGTTTCTTGGCCTTGGGATTCTTGTGTCGCTTGAGGAGCTCCTCAATAGTGGGAGGAGGCTTTGTATTGGTTTGAGATACCAAGGCATCAGGGACTATCAGAAACCTAGCTGCTTAGGCCACCATCTTCTTCAGTTGTTTTCTATGCCGCCTGCTGATGTTGCAACTTTTAAGCTTTTTGTCAAGAGCCTCAAAGTCTGGGCATTTGAGAGTTGAACCTACAAAAGACGTGTTAGGAGGAGAAGAAGAAGGTTTAGAAGAGTCTGGGATAGAAGATGGGGGAGAGTAAGGTCATTACTTAGATTGGACCGATCCCGGTAGCTTTTAACGTCATCACTAGAATTGGATGTGTGTAGGGAATCTTTTAGATCATTACTCTGCTTGGACCGTTGGGGGGTGCTTTTAATGTCATCACCCTTATTGGACATAGTGGGAATTTGAGCCGAGGAAGGCTCAGGAATGCCCTGTTGATTGGATTACAGGTCTTGGTCAGTAAAAGCGATTGACTCAAGGAAGAAATTTTGCAGGGTTGGAAACGGAGGAAGGTGCTTGAGGAATTCACCCTCTGTATGAGGTTGAGGGGGTTTTCTCCTTCGGTGAGCAGCCTGGTTAGGTGCCTCGATCTTGTCTCCCCTGATCTAGGTGATTAGGTGACACTATCTCGAGTTGAAAGACCTGGATCTGAGATCGCTCTCTCGAGAACCTCGTTCACAGAACAAGGGCAGGTGTCCAACTAGTGAGAGAGGAATTTTAATGCGAGGTGGGAACCAACCTCAACTGAGTGCATGACTTCCTCGGGCTGACTTGCACGGGCGCCCTATTAGATCACGACGAAAAGCCCCCCAACTTCTTCAGTTGGTTCGAAATATCCTCCCTTGACCTGCAATCTCCTTGCTTTCGACACAACATTATCATGGTTAACTTGCAGGACAAGTGGGCCGAGGGAACCACCCTTGTCCTAGGGCAAGGCACATTTATAAGTGAGGGGGATGAAACGGAAGGTTCGAATAAAGACAGAGAAGGGAACTTGATAAGGGGATGAGACTAGCATGATAGATGGACTAGCGACCGACTCGGAGTGGTAGCAAGACATGCATGGTACTCAGGACCAGCACGACGATAATACTACTTGAAACAGAGGTCGATGTGGCTGTCCTAATCTAATGTGGTAGTAAGACGGACATGATACTCAAGACCAGCACGACAGCAATACTACTCGACAGCTAGACCGTTATGGCAATACTAGGCTGAGTCTACCCTCAGTTAAGTGAGAAGAGAAGAGAATGAAGAGAAAGCACAAGATGATGAAGAGACGGGGTCCTGACAGCGTTTAGGCAATGCCATTCACATTCGTGGAGCAACAATGTCATGGCCCTTGGACGACGCTAGGCACTACTGCTTCCGGTTGGAGGGTGAGCAGTGAACTACGGGCGACGTTAAACATCGTCGTCGGCAACATGAGAGGGCAACACACCCCTTTGCGTGCGGCGATAGCCTCTTGTGAAGTGCGCAGCGATAGCCACTTGTGAAGCGCGCTACGATAGTTCCCTTTGAGGCATACGACGATAAGCGTGGGACACAAGAGAAACCAGCGGATGGCGATGGGCACCGAATGGCTGAAAGAGGCTTGCAGACGGCGATAGGCACCGAGTGCACGAAGGAAGCTTGAGGACGGCAATAGGCGCCAAGCACACAAAAGGAGCTTGCAGATGGCGATAGGTGTTGCTGCGACCCTTTGCGGGCGGCGATAGGCATCGCCGTCTGTGATACGTGTGCAACAAGGGAAGACCCCCATGGACGGCGATAGGCATCGCCGTCTGTGATAGGCGTGCAACAAGGAAGACCCTCGTGGGTGGCGATAGGCTTTGCCGTCTGCGCTCCTCGCTGAGACGTCGAAGACACATCTTTGGACAACGATGAGCAACATTGTCTGCGAGCCTTGCCAAGAGATAGAGATGGAAAAAAAGAAGGGGAAAGAAGCTCGCGCATGGTGCTGGCATCGCCATGCACGACCTGTGAAGCCACAAGAGAAGAAAAAAAGAAAGAGGTGTGCACGACACTGCCACTGCTGTGCATGGCCTTTGAGAAAAGCCCAGACGAAGAAGAAGAGAGAGAAGAAGAAAGGAAGGAAGGGGAAGAGAGAGAGATTTACCTTGAGCCTAGGGATACTGATTTGAAAGTTTCTCTCTCCTACCTCTCTCTCTCAGAATGTGACCCAAAAATAAGAAGAAGAGGAAGTTTTATTGAGTAAAATGCGCTTTGGCGAAGGGTCCTGCAGACAAAGGTAGCATGTGGTATATATAGAGTTTTACCCAAACATGTGTGGATGATCAAAATAAACCTAATTTCTGGAAATTAAGATTTAACTGAATTAAATAAAATAGGAAAATAAGGTACAAAAATGACAGATTTGCCCTTTCTAACAATTCATGGAATTCCAAAACAGTCCCTGTTGCTGCCTTAGAACTTGTGTGATCTTTTATGAATGATTCAGGGTTGTTCTGATGTCCATTTGATAGAAAGATGATTGTTTTCTTGTAG